CTAAACGGCTGATTACCACACCGACGAAAATCTTAACGCATTCTTCCACATTGTTTTCTTAGCATTTGAAGCAATGCTTGGCGCCATCTATTGTTATATCCTTTACAGCATACAAACACTTCGAATATCGTTTTACAACAATTTTTCTACATATAATGTTCAACTTTTAGGATGTCGCCATTGCTTTTTTAGAAATTTAAATTGTTTATTTCTAATCTTTGCACTTAAGATTGAACTAAAATATGTAAAAGCAATGGCGCCAATCATGTGTTCAGCCGTTTACAAACAGTGGCTTAATGCCGAATATCGTGGTTTCACACAGCGGCGACAATCTTTTCGCTGTTTCTACATACTTTTAATGTTCAATCTTAACTAAAAAAAGGCAATGGCGACATCTCTCGTTCGATTCGAAGTTGTTTTTATGCTGTAAGGATTTTAACAATAGATGGCGCCAAGCATTGTAATGTGGAAGAATGCGTTAAGATTTTCGTCGGTGTGGTAATCAGCCGTTTAGCTCAGTGGCTAGAGCGTCAGGCCGCGAATGCCGAAGACGTGGGTTCGATTCCCACAGCGGCGACAATCTTTTCGCACTTTTTCTACATATTTTAATGTTCAATCTTAAGTGCAAAGATTAGCACTATAAACAATTTAAATTTCTAAAAAAGCAATGGCGACATCTCTCGTTCGAATTATCGTTGTAAAACGATATTCGAAGTTGTTTGTATGCTGTAAAGGATATAACAATAGATGGCGCCAAGCATTGCTTCAAATGCTAAGAAAAACAATGTGGAAGAATGCGTTAAGATTTTCGTCGGTGTGGTAATCAGCCGTTTAGCTCAGTGGCTAGAGCGTCAGGCCGCGAATGCCGAAGACGTGGGTTCGATTCCCACAGCGGCGACAATCTTTTCGCACTTTTTCTACATATTTTAATGTTCAATCTTAAGTGCAAAGATTAGCACTATAAACAATTTAAATTTTTTAAAAAAGCAATGGCGACATCTCTTTCGAATTATCGTTGTAAAACGATATTCGAAGTTGTTTGTATGCTGTAAAGGATAGGATATAACAATAGATGGCGCCAAGCATTGCTTCAAATGCTAAGAAAACAATGTGGAAGAATGCGTTAAGATTTTCGTCGGTGTGGTAATCAGCCGTTTAGCTCAGTGGCTAGAGCGTCAGGCCGCGAATGCCGAAGACGTGGGTTCGATTCCCACAGCGGCGACAATCTTTTCGCACTTTTCTACATATTTTAATGTTCAATCTTAAGTGCAAAGATTAGCACTATAAACAATTTAAATTTCTAAAAAAGCAATGGCGACATCTCTCGTTCGAATTATCGTTGTAAAACGATATTCGAAGTTGTTTGTATGCTGTAAAGGATATAACAATAGATGGCGCCAAGCATTGCTTCAAATGCTAAGAAAACAATGTGGAAGAATGCGTTAAGATTTTCGTCGGTGTGGTAATCAGCCGTTTAGCTCAGTGGCTAGAGCGTCAGGCCGCGAATGCCGAAGACGTGGGTTCGATTCCCACAGCGGCGACAATCTTTTCGCACTTTTTCTACATATTTTAATGTTCAATCTTAAGTGCAAAGATTAGCACTATAAACAATTTAAATTTCTAAAAAAGCAATGGCGACATCTCTCGTTCGAATTATCGTTGTAAAACGATATTCGAAGTTGTTTGTATGCTGTAAAGGATATAACAGATAGATGGCGCCAAGACATTGCTTCAAATGCTAAGAAAACAATGTGGAAGAATGCGTTCGAAGATGTTTCGTCGGTGTGGTCAAATGCAGAAGAAAACCGTGCGTTAGTCTCGTTTAGCTCAGTGGCTAGAGCGTCAGGCCGCGAATGCCGAAGACGTGGGTTCGATTCCCACAGCGGCGACAATCTTTTCGCACTTTTTCTACATATTTTAATGTTCAATCTTAAGTGCAAAGATTAGCACTATAAACAATTTTAAATTTCTAAAAAAAGCAATGGCGACATCTCTCGTTCGAATTATCGTTGTAAAACGATATTCGAAGTTGTTTGTATGCTGTAAAGGATATAACAATAGATGGCGCCAAGCATTGCTTCAAATGCTAAGAAAACATGTGGAAGAATGCGTTAAGATTTTCGTCGGTGTGGTAATCAGCCGTTTAGCTCAGTGGCTAGAGCGTCAGGCCGCGAATGCCGAAGACGTGGGTTCGATTCCCACAGCGGCGACAATCTTTTCGCACTTTTTCTACATATTTTAATGTTCAATCTTAAGTGCAAAGATTAGCACTATAAACAATTTAAATTTATAAAATATCGTTTTAAGCATGGGGACATTTCCCCGATTTAATATATATTTTCTTAACGGGCACCAATATTAACGCTTCCACGAGTTATGCCTTCAAATCAATTAAAAGTTTGAGCAAAGCCTTATAATTCTTCAGTCGAAACCGCAAACGCTGCTAAATAATTACTTTTTAATAAATTCCCCATCTAATTCATTCACGTGGGCAATTACAAGGGCCCATGGGAAATTTTCTACAAATACAAAACATTTTTCCGGCCTTCTTAGGCGTAAGTTTGAAGTTTGTTGAATACAAAATCCAAACAAAACTGAAATTTTTGTTCCCATTTACGTACAACTCACTAAAAACATAGGACTATTTAGGTTTATAGCATACTAGCCGGTGCGCACGGCTGCAATTTATTATACATATAAACCTTCATCTTGAATCACTATATCTAGTAAAAAAAACATTCCAAACCAACCAACCAAAACCAACCATCAAAATCCGTTACGTAGTTTTAAAGATCTAAGCATACATAGGAACAGACAGACAGCGGAAAGACTTTGTTTTATACTATGTAGTGATTAGAATTTTTGGATATTCGTAAATCATAAAATCAGCAGTAATCTGCGTAGCTTAAGAAGTACATCATCCTATATTCTGTACAGTTAATAAGAAAATATTAAATGCTTTTGTCTTTGGCATGCCCGATAGTGGCATCAGTTATGTTAATGCATTTGTGCAGTCGCAACATAAATGTATTAACATAACAAATTATATCACATAACATAAATGTATTTCTAACATTGTATATTAATTAACTGACCCCGGCGAATACCCGATTAGTCATTTGATAATCAGTTTATCAATGAAAAGTGTCTTATTTTTTGAAGAATGATGTTTTTCAGTCTACTTCGCTATATTTAGCGCATAGCGAGCGCTACTCGTATCTATCATTCATTATAGGAACATTTTAAATGATATTTTTTGGTAATAATAAATTTTTGGTTTATAAATGTCTTTATATTACTTGCCTATTTTTCGTCCATAGTGGCAATCGTCAGTTTTAAAATGATGTTCAATCTACAAATTTTAATGTTTAAAATGGTGTTCAAATCATTAAATTTCATGAAGAATCATGGAATTACTCCTTAGAGACAAAAAGAAAATTCGTTGGAAAAATAATATACAGAGTTTGTACGCGGATGTACCTCGTGTACGCGGGTGTACTTCGTATACGCGGGTGTACTTCATGTACGCGGATGTACGTCGCGTACGCGGTGTTTTGGTTACGCCGTATTCGTAGGCGAAGACAAACTACAGTGTGTTGTAAGTTAACGAGGACACCGTCAATGTAGAACGCAAGTCGGAATACCACCAAGTAGAACGACTGCAGTGGTTCAGTGATGTCACGAGCAATATGAAGAGATGCTACAGTGGAATATATCCAGGACACAGCGAATTGGAAATGTAAAAATCACAAGGCAGACCCCGGCTTAAGACGCTAGTAATAAGTGACTTCTTATTCCGCATTCTGATGCGTTACTCTGTAAAATAATTAGTGCAAGCTTGCTATTTGCAATTACTATGCCAAGCCGGAATTTGTTTATCATTAACGTTGTGGATAATTTTGTTTGTCTGTGTCGGACTTTATCGCCACTTTATGACGGGTCGTAAACGTGGATAATAAGGATTTGCCCTGTTTCAGATTTGAGACACAAGAGACAATTGCTTTCTTTTAATTGAATCGGTATCTCATTCCCTTTTGTTGCTCAATTGTTATAATTAGGCCATGTACCAACAATATTCACGAGCATCGCATGCATTTAATAAGAGTATCATACGAACATTGTTATATATTGTTATGTTATCTGTGCAAGTCTGCGGGAAGTCGATGGATGCAGGTGGCTCAGGATCGTGTTTTGTGGAGGTCTGTGGGGGACTCAATTACACTGAAAACATGGTGATGTTGATGATGATTCTATTATCTGAACATCATCATCATCCTCCTGCCCAGATCCCACTTAGGTGGGGTCGGCCCAACATGTGAATCATGTTATAAGCGGTTTTGGCTATGTTTTGACGACCTGCCGCCATCCTGACATCAACCCTCCTTGGGAAAAGAACACCCAGATCCGGAAAGATTATTTTTTTTACACAAATACTTGTTCCGTTTGGGAATCTAACCCACCACGCCCAACGCCGAAGCGAATCTATCTGTTATCTGAACATCATTTTCAACAATCTTTTGTGATTAAACTGACTGCATTCGTGAATATACATTTTATATTAATGTATGTAATAACATTTACTTAGCCATACAATATTAAACTATATTAAACTGTATAAATATGTTTCGTAGAAGCTGAAGCTTGTTACAATATTCTTCAATTACTCACTTTATTATAATGTAAGCTCCATTTAAAATATTGTGTTTTAAATTTATTCGCAGTCACTTTATTGTAGATGGACGCGGTGCTGCAGACTAAACAAATTTACAAGTAGAAAGAAAATAATTTTTTTTTATTGCACATGCAAAACAGTGCTTCCTTTATATTTGTTGTTTACGAGGTTTGCTGCAGTGCTCGGCGAAATAACCACAGCTTTATAAAACACAGACGCAAAAATGATGTCGCTAAATTTTAACTGTTCGTTAGTTAGCTATAACGCCACTACACCTACTCTTTAAAATGTAGTGAATTGATCGTCTGATTATAAATCTCTTTAACAGATATCTATGGATACGCATTGCGTTATTCGAGAGACAGCTGCCTAAGATAATAGAGCACTTGGTGAACAACGCGACGAGGTATTACGAGCGTGACGCCTTGGTAGCCGATCCCGATTATGGGAGCATTCTTAGCTCCCTGCTGGTCGGCCCTTGTGCCCTGGAGTATTCGAAGGCGAAAGCCCCTACGTGCTTTTGGTCGGACCCGCCCGCCGATGAGCTGGTAAGCGATTGGTGAAAATTGCTAATGTATCACTTATTTTTTTTACTATGTTAGCATGGTTGTCCGTTTTTTTTTTGCTCTAGGGACAAACGCGTGGGCAATGTTTGATGTTTATTACGTTGATTGAATTTTCTTAAGACAGCAGTAGTAAAAATCCAGTACGGTGACAACTATTTGCCATATTGTCAAAAAGTTTTATAGAAAATTCTTACAATTAAGCAGCCCGGTTATTTTATTACATGTTTAACAAATAATGGTTTATATTTTGAAGATGATAGGGGCAATACGACCACTATTTCGACATCAGTTGACGATTTGAGTGTTGTGGAATATGTGTCGTGTAGGGAGGGTTTTTTTCATGTCCTGTGTTATTGTTTATTGTATTATTGTATTATTTATCATCCAATAGTACACACGTTACACGTGAGTTCACTTTTCTTTTCTGGGATAAATAACACTATTTGTTTCGGGAGTTTTTGTTAAGTTCAAAGATGTGACTGCTTCTATTATTGTCTCTCATATATTTTTTGCAAAATTGAAAATTTCTGCGAATATGTCGTTAAGAATCGAACTTATTAGACGAATGAAAAGTAATAAAAAATATATGCTTAATTATATACTGAAATGGACACTAATTTAACATCTGTACACGTCCTGAGTGCGCCCGTAAAACCTATGATAAGGGTATTAAGCAAAGAGACGAATATGTTCGCAGCATGTGTTCCATAGCTGAACATAGATTCACTGAAATATGTTTTTCTCCTTCATTACGAGAGTGTTTGCGGTTAAAGTCAAACTCAGTCAGATCGTTCTGGCAGTAACTAATGAAAACGTACATGCTTAGATAATGGATAAATAAATGTATTTTTTTAACATTACTTAAAGCTTCGGTAATTTTTATTTTATTCTTGTGTCTGTCTATATTTTTTGTCTATTTCTTTTTAACATTGAAGTGTATAATGTGTCTACGTCAAGCAGAATGCATTTTATCTTTGAAGCGATTAGAAGTGGATGTATGTGTATGAAAGATTTTTTATGGGAAAAAAGCGGCAAATGAGCAGGAGGCTCACCTGATGGTAAGTGATCACCGCCGCCCATGGACATCTGCAACACCAGAGGGCTTACAAATGCGTTGCGAGCCTTTTAGGAAGGAGTATGCTCTCTTCTTGAAGGTTCCCAGGTTGTAACGGTTCGGAAAGACCGCCGGCGGCAGCTGGTTCCACAGAGTGGTTGTGCAGGCAGGAAATGCCTTGAAAATCGCGCTGTTGTGGAACACTGGACATCGAGGTGGTGTGGATGAAATGTTTGGCGCGATGTCCGATGGTGAAATTCAGCCGCCGGGATCAATCCAAACAATTCCTCGGAACACTCCCCGTGATAGATGCGGTAGAAGATGCAGAGTGATCCAACATCTCTACGCACAGCCAAAGGATCAAGCCGATCGAAAAAACCTTGATCGTCGATAACCCTAGCTATCCTACGTTGGATGCGGTCAAATGGAAGAGGCTGGTAACGGGGTCTCCCGCCCAGAGGTGAGAGCAGTACTCCACGTGGGGACGAGAGCATACATCCTCTCTGACGTACACGCACACCCCAGCCCGCGGCACAAAGGAATGTTCTAGTTTGTACCCCGGGTAGGGGAGGAATGAGGTGTCAGCTGGATAAGTCTCTCTGTCTGCGTCTCTGTAAGGAAGAGCAAGGCCGGCTTCGCCATCTCAAGATGGAAGCGGACGGCGTTTCAGTTCGAATTTAGCCCCCTAATGTTGCAAAAGTCCACGGCATCCGAGGAAGGGGTAGCCTTATGTTGCCTGCTCCCTTTGCCCCGAGCAGGTGTAGAGAGCTCAAAATTGCTTCCCCCAGAATAGAAAGGGCAGCCTGGGCGTTCACGCTGAGATGTTGTACGGCCTGCGCGTGGACGTCCAGAGAGGGATTCTCTACCGCGCCGTACGCTGGTGGTACCCTCCTGGGGTAGAAAAATTTCGCGCAGACATTATGGGGGAGGAATGGGGAGAGGGCGTCCGGGACTCTGACAGACCAAACGAAACGCCACGGCATAGCTGCCCCTTGACGTCGGTTTCTAGTGAGAGAGTGGTTCTTCCCCGGGCGTGCCGGCCCAATTCGGCTGCTATCCGAAGATGCGCAGCACGGCACTACCACTGACTGCGGGCGATGGGGTCGTCACGTCCCGACGCCGAAGATGATATCAGTTTCGTAGAGCTAATAAAGAAAGAAGTGCCTCTTCAGGGAATGTATCATTTTATGCTTTAAATTTTTTTGTGACAGGTTCAAAGGCATCGCATGTCCGCTGGCACGACGACACCGCCGTCAGTGCGTCGGCCGATCCTAAACTTCCGGAGGAGTCTCAACGCTTCTTCCGACGATACTGGTGCTTCCAGTACAGGTGAGAAGAACCAACAGTTTGGAACGCAGTCTATGTTAATTCATTGGAAGCTAGTGTTCTAAAAACCATGAGGATTGTAGCTACATTAATTCCTCGGTTGTATAATACGCGTATTAATAATTTTGTGATTCGGTTGTGGAACAGTTGCCAAGCTATAGAACAAGTATTTATGTGAACTACAGGTATTGCTCCTGATCCAGGTTTTTCTCCACGTAAAATGTTTGTATATTAAGGTCTTTACAACATAGGATTATTAATGCTGTCCTCTAGTGAAGGTAACGTTTAAATAAACGGAAAATAAAGAGAAAGAATAAACTTTGTAAATAATTTTGTTGATGGCTTTTAGGATGATTTATGATTAGATTATTCCATGAATGTTTTGTTTAATGCAAATTGTAAAGTTTTAAATGCGAGCAAATAGAAAATTAATAGCTGAATGTAAATTTTGCGCTTTCACGTTCCAATATTCAAGTAATTAATTCGTGAACATGAACCTTGGATTACGGAGGTTTTGACACTCGTCCTTAATGTTAACACCAACAATTTATTAATATGCTTGCTTGCTATGGACGAAGGCATAATCATCTTCAATCTTTAATCAATCCTTGTAATTAGTGAATAGTAAATAAAGTTGAAAAAAAAACATTTTCCGGATTTATCGCCTTTAATTTGTCATTAAATTGCCAAAATTTAAATTTTAATCTATCGCTCTAATAATACATTTATAATACATTAAAACGAGCAATTCTTGTAAGTATATATTTTGTATGTCGGAAACAGCTCCAACTATTTTCATGAAATTTTGTATGCAGGGCGTTTCGAGGGCGATAAATTGATCTAGGTAGGTTTAATTTTTTAGAAAACGTTGTTATATCCGTATTTTCAGGCAATGAAAAATGCTACTGTATCATTAGACTACAAAGGTAAATTTTGCTACCATCTACAAACCTTTAATAGCTCAGGTGGTGAATCGAGCGTTCCCCAAACTGAAGGAACCCGGTTCGAACCCAGATGATTTTTTCTTTTTCTTCATTTTTCCCTTTTTCTTCAAGTTCCTTCTTTTGTGAGAAAAATACCATCATCCAGGTTCTATTTATTTATTTGTCTGGAATATAAATAGCACTTAAGAGGTGGGATTTCGAAAATACCGTTTTATTGATTGAAGTCTCTGACAACGGCTGTAAATTAATCTGTAACTTTGCACATACTTTATTTTCTTCAGCAACGGGCATCGCGACCGGGTCTAGCGCCAAAGACTACGTCGAAAGCTTACATCAAAACTCCCGGGCCACATTGTTATATGGAAAAAACAACGTGCGCGTGCAACCGGTAAGGCTCTATATATAAAACAAAGCCGCTGTCTTTCTGTCCCTAGCCCTAAGCTTATATCTTTAAAACTAGGTAACAGATCTTGATGCGGTTTTTTTACTAGATAGAGTGATTCAAGAGGAAGGTTTATATGGATAATACATTGCACCCGTGCGAAACCGGGGCACGTCGCTGGTATGAAATAAACAACCATACTGCTGTGAGGGGCCGTATTGTCTTGAAGTGACAGGCTGTCACCCTTGATACATTAGGCCCACTTGCTTCATAAGAAAGAAGCGGTTAGATTTAATCCACTTCCTTTGGCTCTCAAGATAATTTAATTATCAAAGGATATACTTTGTATAAGGCTCTAATGACGTCATCGAAGGTGACGTATTAAAAAGACAAATATAAATGAGCTGTTTAAATGTAATTGACCCAAAGCCGAATATTAACACATACAAAGTTAAGAAACATCGTTGTCTTACAGAAGACACTTAACTTTTAAGTTATTTTTTTACTAGTATATAATTTTTATAATCAGCATAAGTTTTGACTTTAACTTGTTTTTTGGTATACTGTTAAGTATTTAAATGTATCCCATTAAAAATAGAAACCATAGCTGGTGTTCAGTTTATCTACAATGAATATATAATATAATAAGCTATGCTAATCTCAGTGCGAAAGCGATTATGAATTTCGAAAGAAATACCGCGTTCAGATCGTGATTGAAGTAAAAGTTCTTAAAAACACGGATAGCTTGAACTGTTTGTACAAATTATATATAGCTGCTATTTCCCTCTCACTATAAGAAGATAACGATATAATATCTTTCTTCTCTCTCATGAGAGGAAATGCGCCTAAACACTATAACATTTGGGCAAAAAGGTTCTCAGTGCTGATTTTGAGATATTAATTGATTACCGCCTCCCAAATGGCCATCATCTATACTACCCGTGGGGTTGCTACTTTGCCAACCTTCACAAAAATAGGCACCTCATCAAAAACACAGAAAAATAATTTATCCACTTCAAGCGGGTGTTCTATGAGACTGGGATATCCTTAGGGATGTTAGCTATCTGTAACAGTGAATGTTCGAGGTGTGTCAATACCTTTATCGTTTATGTGACTCTTATAGAAAGACGTAGAAGAACCAATGCCTGGGTATTTGAGCTTGCACCAAACGGCGGCCGGTCTCGTCATAAAGTGGACACCTAATCAGCTTATGAACGGATACGCAGAGAGTGAAGGCATAGACAAGAGGTATGTTTTCCTGTTGGAGCGTATTAAATTGCAAATTTTTTTGTCTATGTATTGACGATGTCTAAACTTCAGTTCTTTTTTTTTACCAAGTACACATTTTTTTATAATCTTTTAATGTTGTTACTTTAAATTCTCAAGCTTTTTGCGTAAATTAATTTTCACTGTTTTGTTTGCTATTGTTTGCGCTGTATTTTGTTCAATGTAGATCTCACAAGCCTGTTTCATAGTTTTTAGTTTTGTCTCTCGCAGTAGACCAGTTTCTTGTGGGTTTGTGTTATGGTATTGTGTTAGTTATAGTGCATGTTTGTGACGTAGAGGTGTGTCTAGTTTCCGATGCCACCTAGTGCATGCGTCCGCCTGCCAACACAAGTGTATTATGTGCAGCGTGACAGACGTGTGCTCAGTGTACAGGCGACGCTGTGCCGGCCCGCTCTGCATCGATTGGTAAGTTTTTCGTTTGCCCCTGTTAGTTCGTTTGATCGATGCTTTATACATACGTGTCACATCTTTCGGTTGACTCGATTGACATAGTCCTTAAGTGATAGACTTGGGCTCCATAGGTCGTGTGTTTTGAGTAAGTGTCACAGAGTTGAGATTCGTTACGGGTTTGTGCGTGTATAATTTGGGTTTTTAATCGCATCTAAAATACAATATTGTTGTATTTTAGATGCGAGGGGGGATATGTTTTAAGAAAAAAATAAAAAAACATAATAACATTTATACACAAACGGATAGTAGAGCTATCCGTTTGTGTATAAATGTTAATACCAACATAATATTGCTTTGTTTTATATACGCACATGATAAGTCTGTCACAAAAATACATAGGCTAAAACGGATTTACTGCAAGATTCAATTTTGTATGCCTTAGGATGTAGAATGTTCAAATGTGGGGTTTTTAATGGTAAACGAGTTAAAAGATAAAGTGATGATTAACTTACTAACCAGTCAATTGGCGAGGCTACAATATGGATAAAGTCAGTTATAAAAATTTTGTAATTTTTGATAATTGGTTAAAAATATTAAAATTTTTTATTTATTTGTGGTTACAAATAAATAAATAAATGTTAACACTTGAATATAAAACCTCTTAGTCTTGTTACAAAATATTGTACTTACCCAAAAAATCAACATAGTGTTAATAAGTCTCGCAGGCCGGCAACGCATTTGTAAGCCCTCGGGTGTTGCAGGTGTTCATGGGCGGCGGTAATCACTTACCATCAGGTGAGCCTCCTGCTCGTTTGCCCCTGTTCTCCATAAAAAAAAACAGTAAATCAAATTATATAGAACCCAGATGGATTAGTAACAATAAATCCTTTTCATTATTATTTTTATTTACGTGAGCTGTAAAATACTTTTAATTCATAGCCTAAACAAATAATAAAACCTTGGAACGTTGTGGAAAGCCGTTCAATAAATTATTAAACTTATTTAATTCAGCTGCAGTAAATTAAGCGAATGTACAGACCAGGTTTGTTACTTTTCTGGTTAGACGGTGTGTGAAGTTCACGGAAAGATTAGGCATTTAGCGAATGCGTTTTTCCGCAGCGTGTATTGGGCGATGTCGCTGCAGGTGTGTGTGTGGGAGGTGGTATACGTGCACGTCCACCGCGCAAACGCCAGCGATGCCCTCATACTGGTCGGCCAGGACGGAGTCCAACGACCTCCCATACACTTCCCCAAAGGTTAGAAAGTCCATCCCTACATTACATTTATATGTACACTAGCTGTTAGCCCGCGACTACGTCTACGTAGAATAGACTGAAGGCGGAATATTCAGACAGAAAGATATTTTACTTTAAAATATGTATATAAATTATAGCCTATGTTTTATTCTGATGCATATATTTGGTTACATGATTGTAAAGTTTCATTAAAATCCATTCGGTAGTATTTGCATGAAAGAGTAACAAACATCCATCCATACATAAAAACATACGCGTTTATAATATAGGATTTCCGCTTATTCCCTTGTTTGAGAACATTTTATGATGATTTCATGTCAAGACACGGCATCTTTTTGTGGAATAGTTATAAACTTTAGCCACAGCATAAATAATGTTCACGGAATTCGTACGCCATGTCTCAACAGTGGAATATATTCTATGTACTTTACCCGCAAACCAAAATTCTAATAAAGCGTTTATACTTTATGTAGTTATTGTGATTGTAATAGTTATAAAGATTTTACCCGACTGCGAGAGGCAAAAGAGAGTAATTTTTACCTTTATAGCACTCTTAAGACCACCCTTGCTTTGATTTTGATAATTCTTGCTTCAATCGAATTATCTTATAACTCTCAGTAAAGAAATCATATTGTTAAAAGTTTATCACGGAGATTAGAAAACGGTTAAATTTTTCTTTATTTTCATTATTACATGCTTCTTTACTAACGTTTTAATTGTTAAAGGAGGCCATTTGCTGTCGTTTCTAAGCAACTTGGAGACTGGTCTATTACCTCATGGCCAGTTGGATCCTCCTCTATGGTCACAACGAGGCACTGGCAAGGTATTTGATGAACAATGTTATTCTAAATTTTTTCTATACAATACATATAATGTCAATTTACTCTTTATCTTTCCTTGAAAAATTTTCAATTCAATTTTTAATACGACTAGTACTATAATTATGGACAACAAAAGTAAACGTCTTAACGATAATAATTAACCAAAATTTCGCCTTATCTTATAGCATTTGCCATTGCATTCAATATTGCCTTACCTACGTTCATCATTACTATCGACTTCTTCTGTTCTCTTAAAAACCGTGCACTGATTTTACTCACGATGTCATTCAGGTATTTGGCCGGGGAAAAGTACGCCGTCGGCCGATGCCCAGCCTCTGTGAGAGTGGGGAGACCGACGAGGCGGAATGGGAGGAGGCGGCCGGTGATTACGTCTTCCGTATCGTCAACAACGCCATCGCCGACAGGGAAGGTGAGATTTGAAATGGGAACTTTTATAGATAAATGGACGTAAACTGTCTCTGTTGCGGAATTCGAACCTGCTTCTTCGGGGTAACGCGCCCAAACGTTTTACGAGCTAACCAAAGCGGCCAATGACCTCACGGCTTGAAAATCTCGTTATGTATCCACTTGCTTTACTGCATTTTTGGCAATTCTTGGCGTCATCTAGCGAGCTTATGTTACACAATGAAACACCTTACAAATAAAACTTAACGTTCATCGTCGACTTGTCATTTAATATCAATTAAAAACACTTTAATATCCAATTGTTATTTTATAAATCTAGCTCTTATTTTGAACACTGAATATTATAGAATTTAAATTTCCCTTGTGTTCCATGTGTCTATGTTACAAATGTGGTATGGATTTTTTTTTAGAAATACTCAAATTCTTAAAAAAATATTTTCACAATTTGATAGTGATTTGTTTAATAATATCCGTCCGTCCAATAATCAGATAGTTTGATACGGATTTCAATTTTCTTAAACGTTGTGTCCGAAAGAATGATTTTTATCAAGAGTTATAAGAGTAGCGGACTACCTCGGTGAAACGTTGTTAGAACATTAGCAATATCAATCCATATGAAATGTAAGAGAGCTTGTTGTAGTTCTTCTTTGGTAAAACTTTCACACTGGTATTGTCTAGCAATGCGCCACTCGTTGCTGGAGAGGGCAGTACAGTCGCCACCGAGGACACCGCGCCGTCCCCTCGCCTCTACTTCCACGACCTCTTCGGATTCCTCCACAATGTCCGTAGATTGTCCACCGTCCGCCAGCATCAATGGCCCACCGTTAACGCCCGCTCTGATACCTCCAGTCGAACAGGTGATTAATTCTTAGCAACTAAACTATTGGCTTTGGCACTGGGAGTCGTGGCTTCGATTTTCACACGGCCCAAGTATTTTGTAAAGGACGTTATACGCATTTTTGTTCCACTGCAAGGCAAAGAATTCCTTATTATAAGGGTACTCAAACGAGGACGTGGTTCATCACACATCTCTATTGCAAATTGGTGGCATGCCGTTGAAATATTTCATTTATTATTATTATCACGTAATGTTTTTCAGTTCGGAACTTCTTTTTTCTGTTTGTAAAAAAAATCTGTATATGACAATACGCAACATTTACCGTGTAGTGGTTTAATATTTAAAATTGCGACAATTTTATTTGTGTTAGTAATAAGTGCCGGGATTGAAATTTCTTGAGTACACCTGTAAAAAGCACTTGTATAATGCGTAATCATAATGACTGATTGATTAATCTGTTTAATTTGCCTCCGTCAACAGCCTTTATATCACAGGTCTAAAATTTTCTCAGGCTGCATCGATCGAGCTAGTCTGCAGCACGATGCGTCGACAGATCATCTCCCGGGCGTTTTACGGCTGGCTGGCGTACTGCAGACACTTGTCGACAGTTAGAACACATCTGAGTGGCTTGGTGCATCCAAATATCATACCTAGTGGTAATTTCCACGTTGTTTACAATCTATTATATGATAAAATTAAACCAGAGGATCCTCTGATTATATCACTAATGATCTTGAAAATCAACAGTATCAGCCTAATTTCTAAATCATATTACATTTTATCTTTCATTAATCATGCATTACATAATAAAAGGACCTCAGAAATTCTGAGCGTTCGTGGTTCAAGGTTTATATGGCGATGATCCTAATGCAAATTATTATCTGAAAATAACAACAATAAAACTGTAACATTTTACGGTACCCTTGAATCTTTCAAACTATTGGTACATCTGCCTTGATGAAACGGTACATAGATGGCGCTGAATCTGGTCTCACGGAGGAGATCTGGCGCTCCATGACAGACGAGCGAGGCGCCGTCCACGACGGGGACGAAGTTCATCGGCTCGTGTATTACGGCGGCGTACAGCAGAGCATACGCCGCGAAGTCTGGCCCTACCTCCTGGGTTACTACGAGTCGGTATTCCAGCTAACGTATTATTATAGAAAACTAGTACCTGATAAATAACTATATTTTTCGATTTCAGTGCTTCGTTAACTAATTGTCCGAAACCATTGTCTTTTTTTAATTAAATAATAAAACTATTTTCGGATTTTAACGCGCTATTTTGTAATGTTATGTAATTTTTAAGTATGTAAATTAATGTTAAGTATGCCAAGACAAGTCCCTAAGGTCCAATGAATAGAGCGGCTAGGGTTATCGACGATCAGTCTTTCCGATCGGCTTGGTCCATTGGCTCTGCGTAGACATGTTGGATCACTCTGCATCTTCTACAGCATTTGTCATGAGGAGTAATCCGAGGAATTGTTTGGATTGATCTCAGCGACTGAATTTCACCACCGGACATCGCGCCAAAATCCAAAATTTCATCCACACCACCTCGATGTCCAGCGTTCTACAACAGTGCAATTTTTAAGCCATTTCTTGGGCTTCACAACCACTCTGTGGAACCAGCTGCCGCCGACGGTCTTTCTGAAACGTTACGACATGAGAACCTTCAAGAAGAGAGCATACTCTTTCCTAAAAGTCCGGCAACGCATTTGTAAGTCCTCGTCCGCGTCCATGTTTGCAGGTTCGGTTCAACGGCGGAGGAGAGGAGTGGGCAGGACGCGACGTGCCGGCGTCAGTACGAAACGACCATGTCGGAGTGGCTCTGCGTGGAGGCGATCGTGAGGCAGCGAGACCGCGAAGCGACTGCGGCGTCCATCGCCCGTCTCACCGAGGCGGCCGGCAAGTCCAGGCCGCCAGACGCCGTGGACCCCGGCGAGGCAAGTAAAAAGGGTGTTTTGCTGTTTAATTTTTCATGCAAGGTGTCAAGCGAGCCGGCGGTTCATCTGATGTCGACTAGTGTAATCGAAAAATGACAAACATCCGGGTTTGCAGATGCATTGCTACTATTCGGAGCAGCAGCCTTTGTTGTCTTCGTAACAGCCGCACTGAAATCATATGTATTATGCTTAATCAGAAGTAGTATGCTCCTGCGTTGCTTTTTTTAGGTGGTAATGCATCTAATGAATATAAGTATGTCCATGGGTTGTTAACATTCCATTTCCCGTAGGCTCACTTACCAGTTTCTCACATTAAAAAAGTCCGTGGGCCACTTTCTTATTTGTTTTACTTTTTGACAAAATTTATATTATGTCTATTTCATTGCCTATGCGGTTTACTGCCTTTATTAACTGCTATAAGTTTGTAAACAAGTAGTAAAGTTTGACAGTCATCTCGTGTAGAAATTAATCTTAATAAATTAAAACACATTAAACTAAAAACTATGCCGCCTTTATCGCACGGCTTACTAGAGTAATCATGTAAAACACTGAGTACGTAAGCAGCGGTTTTCTCTCTCTACAATTTTCGAATATAATGATACAACTTTATTGTTTAAACAGTCTCCTAAATATTAATATAGCATACAAGCTAAATAATTATGAATTTGATTCAAATTCCTTTATCCGCTTCTGTGTAATAGGAATTCAAACGCATAAATATAAAGATCGCGTGTAAAATAGTGCGATACGCATTTTTTATAGTTATCATAATTTTGATTTTTTTTATTCAATCCCTTTCCAGGTGTTTGAAGATGACTGCAGTGTTATATCGGACAACCCACCTATCGTTTCACCAGAACCGAGTGAAAAGGAACAGCATAAACCAGATTTCAAACCAGTGCTTTCCCGAGCACCGAGCATAGACGAAATAGATAATATAGATCTGGATTCGGAGGAAAAGGGAAGGAGCGATGCAAAAGTGAACGGAGAGACTGAAACGGGTGATAGTGTTGAGCATTTAGATGTAGACAGTCTGACTGACATCGACGATGACGAGGTATATGTTAAGAGTGTCGTGGAAAACCCAGATATGAGGCGGGAGAGTATAGCAGAAATTAAAAGGCTTGCCGAAGGCATTGTCCAAAAAGGAGACGGCAGGGGCTTGCTATGTAGCGTTGATAGTGGGAATATGACTCTAAACGGTAACGACTTAAGGTCCTCAATTGATGAAAGTCAACCGCAGCAGTCGCAACAACAACACACTAGCGTCATAATCACGAACCCATCTGTAGATTTGGCTCCTTCTGGATCACCTGTATCAGGTGGCACTACGGGTACAGTATTGATTTCAGTTTTTAATGCTATTACATTTAAATACATATAAAAACATTATTATATGTATAAAAATGGCCTATATCAAGATAAACATTATACTAGTGCGTAATATACGAGTGTACAATGTCTGTTGATACCTACTTTTATATTTCCTTTAAAGTAATTTCTTTTATTTTTATTTTTTAAAGTATTTTCTTTTAATGATCGACAATGCTTGCTGCGTTTATGCAGGAACTCCATTTTTATGTGAAATGTTGTCAAGCGAGCCGGTGGTTCACCTAAAGTGATTACCACCGCCCGTGGAGTGCTTGCAGATGCATTGACAACCTTTAAAGAAAGTCAAACCCTGTAAACTAACTCACTAGACGTAATACGACAGTATATTGCCTTAACTTCACGCTGATCTTCAGTGAGGCCGTGATACTCCCACGGACGAGCCTAACCATTTAATGTTTTCTCACAGTTTTCTTTTTTAATAATTCTTTTATTTTTATTTTACAGCTAATGTGAGTCCGGCCCGAAGTCCGCTGGGCGTGGTGCGCGAGGAGTCCCACTCTGCGGGCGCGTCGTTTGACACGCTGGAGCCGAGCGGTGCCGATCCGAAGCCCGACAACCGATCCAATTGTGTGTCCCCAGCCAGCTCCAATGGCGGAGTTTACTCCGTAAGTACTGCCTCATTATTAGCCGAAGTGGTAGGGCGAGAATGGGCATAACCGTCAGGGGAAGTACCATTGCTCAAAATTAATGTCTGAATTAGAAGTAATATAATTTCGGATTTCGTTTTTGGATTAAAAATGAAACTAAAGTTAAATCGTTTTATAGACATATCGAATAAATAAATCGTTTTTTAGCAACGGAATATTTAAGAAGAAATGGACGTATTTCCGCACGGGAAGTTATTGCTCACGAACGGTGTTTATGATACCTTCCAGAAAAATCTATAAAAAATCACAAACAGATTGTTGGTTCTGAATAGTTTGAATAATTAAGCATAATCATTTCCCATTTTTGAATTTAAGGTTCAAGTAATAATCTTATGTTAGTGTTAGGTCTCGATAATCTGTTAGGATTATAAATTTAAAAAGTTTCTCCAATTTTTATTAAAAATACGTTTGTTTTCTAGATTAAATATATTTCTCTTTCAGAATGAATTGGTGGAGACATTTGCGCTAAATTTACACAGGATAGAGAAAGACGTTCAAAGGTGTGATAGGAACTATCCGTTCTTTACTGACGAGAATTTAGACAAATTGAGAAATATAATGTGCACGTAAGTCAAATGTCCTTTACTTATTTCAAACTATAACTTATAGCTTGCTTTTAGTTTTTTTTTTTTCAATGAATTATCTATTTTAAATGATGATCGCTATAGCATAGGAGTATGTATATTTTTTGATTTTCAAATTTTAAGTTTTACCTTGAGTGCTGAAACTACCAGTAAGAATAAAATTAATCATAAGTATGTATTTAATTACTCATTATTTTGATTTTAAATAATCATTTTTTTTTAAATTTATCGATGAAAAATGTATAATATAGATGAATAATGATGAATATAGAAAGATGTAACACTAATTTTTATTTATATCTGCCCTAGAACTTTTATTATTTTATAACTGAACTAGCTCAGTAGCTGCAGTTTTTAAGTTAGACAGACAGAAGAAAGGAATACGATTATATGTTATGATTATATATTATAAATAATTATATCCGTATCATTTGAACGTTACCATGTCTAAATGTAATATATAAAAAAAATATTTAAAATTCTTATTTTAAGCCATATAATTCCCAGAAACAGATTTCAGATAAACTCTCAGACAGACACAATAATTCTGAAGGAGTCACGCAATGATAGATTATCGTATAAAGTGCTATTTATTTTCAATTGAAATTAAAGTGACCGATTGTGATCACTTTAATTTCATTATTGACTTTGAATTTGCGTTACCCTTCTGTCTTGTACTGTTTTGTTTCATGCTTTTATTCCACCATATTTAAAGTAGAAATTTGAACACGTAGGGCTTCCAGGGGAAGATCTACGTTTTTCGAGGATGCTCATTTTAAAGATGCCAAATCACAAAACGTAATGTTTTTTGAAAAACCTTTTACCATACAGACTATTAAACTCTGGAATTACCTGCGAGGGTATTCGTTCATTCATAATAAGCAAAAGATTTTTAACAATGCAGGTACGTATGGGAGCACTTGGAGACGGGCTACATGCAGGGGATGTGCGACTTAGCAGCGCCACTGCTGGTGACGATGCGCGAAGAGGCGGCCGCGCACGCGTTGTTTGCGCGCCTGATGCAGCGCGCGCGCGACAACTTCCCCTCGGGGCAGGCGATGGACGCGCATTTCGCGGACATGAGGTGAGGTTTTTTTATGCGAGAAGGTGGCAAGCGAGCTGGCGGTTCACCTGATGTCAAGTGTTAACCGCCGCCCATGGACATTTGCAACACCCGTAGGGCTCCAGATCCTTTGCCACCTTTTAATAACGTAGGCCCCGGCTAACTCGCTCACCGGACGAAACGCAGAAGTGTAACACTTCCACTTACGCCGGTTTTTGTGAGGTCGTGATACTTATCCGGATCGTGCGGCAGTCGAAGCGGTTGCGAGACCCTTTTTTTTTTTGGTATCGGGGGGGGGAAATCTTCGTAAGATACCCTGTGACAGGGTTATGTGGGGTTCTTACCCACTAAAACCCCCTCGGTGGCCACCTTCTGTACGTTTGGAGGGACTCCGGGATCTCCTACGGAACGCACCGGTGTCCCTCGGTACTGGGCGTGAACACGCCTCGGAGAAGGGTTAAACCTTCACCGGTTCCCTCGCCATCTTGCAGCAGCTCGAGGCCACTTCGAGCTGCTGCCAATCCGTGTCCCCTTTTAGTCGCCTTTTACGACAGGCAGGAGATACCTTAGTCCTATTCTACGAGCCCGGAACTACAGGTCTGTAGGGGCAGCACGTCTGCCCCTGCCAGCTTGGCGCCGACGTCTCCGAGTGGGGTCGCCCCTCTCCCTTTCCCGTTCGGCAACCTCCTTCTGGAGCATAACAGCTTTACAGAAGGAGACCAGTGCCTGCCAAGCAGAATTTTCCGCCAGCCCAGCGGCCACAGCGACTGGTGGAGAAAGGTTCTCGCCGATACTCCGGTCCAGGGTCCGTCGTTCGGACTCCCACGCAGGGCGCTCAGCAAGCGTATGTTGCGCGGAGTCCCGATCACCTCCACAGTGGTGACATTTCGCCGTCGGTTCGCGTCCATTTCTATTTAGGTACTCACCAAAGCAACCGTGGCCGGTGAGTACCTGCGTCAGCCGAAAGGTGACGTGCGCATACCCCGTTGCACTTAGCAAGGCTTCGAAGCTCGGCAGGAGCGCGCTTACAACTCGCTGGCGCAGGTTTCGGGGCTCTTCCAGCCGCTCGCGCCAAACCTCCAACGCGCGTATGCGCTCCTGCTTCCGCACCTCTCCCGCATCCAGGGGCTCGGCATCCTCCCGCGAATGACGGAGGCGAGTATAAACTCGCGCATCCATCTCTGCCAGTATGTCCATTGGAGGAAACCGAGCTAGAATAGTGGCCGCCTCGAAGGATATTGTACGATATCCTCGTGCGATCCTGATGGCCATCCTTCGCTGCAGACTATAAATCTTAGCTCTGCAGCGACGGACACCCGTTAGTCGATGCGACCATACGGGCGCACCATGCAGAGTCATCGATCGCACGACCCCTGCATAAAGGCGGCGAACTCCTTCCCTGGGACCCCCCACATTAGGTAGTAGTTTGCGCATAGCACCCACCACCTTTTCGATCCGAGGGGCCAGCGGTTGCGAGACCCTACCACAGATAAACGCGCTCTATCACAGAGATTCGCGTTTTTGTAGAATATGCGATGGTTTTTTTTCATTCTTTTTTCATTTTTGTTGATTTTCCAATGGGTTTTTTCCACTTAGGATACGTTGTCCGTTTTGTTTGAAACTTAAACCTTAGAGGGACCGGTGTGAGAATGCAATTTTTGTATTTAAGAATATCGAAATACTTTAAAGGGTAGAAGGTTTAGTGACCCTAAATTCCATTCGCCTAGTACTGGATTCACTCACATTTTTTATGTATTGCTTTGAAGCGTAAATATGTATAGATGGAAAAATAAAAGGCGACGTACATACTAAGCATTCTTGTAGCGGTGTCAATGTATGATAAACGTTATGAAGTATCAAATAATTTCTGAAGGTCCCTCATCCAAATCTTGGACTGCGAGCTGTACGAGCTGATGCACGCGCACGGCGACTACACACACTTCTACTTCTGCTACCGATGGTTCCTGCTGGACTTTAAGCGGGAGCTTCTATATCAAGACGTGAGTGGCCCTTATTTATTACTAGCGCCCCGACTTCGCACGGCACTAATTATCAAAAAAGCTATGGGTCAGATGGTTACCAAACTTAACTTTGAAAATTTCATCAAATTCGGACCAACCGTTTTGAAAACCCAAGGAAATTTTGTATGTAACACATTATCACCATCATCGTCGTCAAGATCTTTTCAGCCTGTTGAGTCATACATCGATTTTTTATACATTACGGCTTTGGCTCTTGGGACCTCATATTGCCATTTTTTTTATTACGGCATTGGGCAAAAGCCAAAGCCGTAATTTATATGTATAAGGGTTTGGTTACGTATACATTTTCATGTATACAATTATGTTCGCAGGTGTTCTCAGCGTGGGAGCTCATATGGGCTGCGCGGCATGTCGCCTCTGAGCACATGGTGCTCTTCATCGCTCTCGCTCTGCTGGAGACGTACCGTGACGTCATCCTCGCCAACTCCATGGACTTCACGGACATCATCAAATTCTTCAACGGTGAGACTTGCTTGTTGACGTGTGATTTTTGTTTTTTTTATTGCGTTAACCATATAGGCATCATTACATCTTTATTTATCCTCAGGCGGAATGGTGGTTAAGCACTTAAACTTACTACTAACTAAACTAAATTTTCAATATTTACTGTGTTAATTTCTGCACTTATGATGAAACATTAAAATCTTTATAAAATATGTGGAAAAATCAATCTTAAGTGCAAAGATTAGCACTACAAACAATTTAAAAACATTAAAACAGAAATCGAACCCACGTACGTCTACCGGATTCGCTCCCAGACGCTTTAACCACTAAGCTAAACACTGATGAATCTGATCGTATTTTATCTACATTTTTGCATTTTAAGTAATTCGATTACGATTCCCGCAGCGGTGAAAAACTTTGAGTACATTTTTAATAATTGCAAAAATATAAATACTTTTTCGACATAACAGCTCTTCAAGCCAGCCTATTGTTTCAAAAGCAAAATCTTTCGCGCGACTCATAAATATTGTGGTAGAGCCACGGAACAGATTCGGCTGAACTGGCCGGTCTGTCCGAGCAAGTATCACCACTTCACAGAAGACTGGCGTGAAGTGGGAAGTGTCATACTTCTGCGTTTCCTCTGATGAGTGAGGTAGCCGAGCCCACTTTATTAAATGGTGGCAACACATGAGCCACCCCACGGGTGTTGCAAATGTCAATAACATCAGGTGAACCGCCAGGTCATTTGCCTTACCATATAAAAAAATTATAAAAATAAAGAGAAATATAATTATCATGTTTTTAATTTCCCAGAAATGGCGGAGCGTCATGATGCGTCCGGACTGCTCTCCCTTGCCCGAGATCTAGTTTTACAGGTTCAAACATTAATAGAAAACAAATAAATGTATGTAGGTACTTCGCTCTTGAGTAAAGTTAGATAACGGTTGAACGTACCTAGCATTTTAATGATAATATAAATCAGTATATCTGATATTAACCCTTTAAATTAATACAAATTAAAATATAAATGTAATAACTTTTACACTGTTACCTATTAGAAAATTTTATTTCGATGACTTAACTAGAGTTATGAAAATATAAATGTATTTACACTACTTAAGGTGGTTTTCGATATCTTCTATCAACAATGAAGATACAAGAAATGAAGTATCTATGTGCTAAAAACTTATTTCAAGGACGTGTACGCAAAGAAAACAGATTATTTGTGTTTAAAATAACGTAAAGGCTCTGTAGAAGTTAACGTAAAATCAATTCTACTTAATAACTTTAAGTTTACCGGGTAAAATTTCTTTGTATTGGCAATATTTCAATAATCGATGTACTTACATTATCTATAGATTTTACGACGTTTTGCGAACTTGAAAATTTAAATTTACAGAACTCATAAAATTAGTCTCATGAACACGCTGCCTTTTTAACAAATATAAATATTATTAATTGGTTCTCTGTTTCTGTGGTGTATTGATATCTGTTTGCCTTAAAAACGTCAAATGATGTTTTTGTCTAAGATTTTTCCAATCACTCCAATGGAGTTCTTAAGGAATAATATAAAAGTTCAAAACGGTCATATCAACCACTGGTCATGACACAAGAATGTTATAAAAAGAACAAATTTATTAATGGTTATATATGAAAAATTTTAAATAACTTGTTAACTTAACTGCAAGTCTGTCTTTCCCATATCTTATACATTTTTGTGATTATAGAGACCAGACGTAAAATTAAAAACAAATATCCTATACAATGTGGTAACAAATAATTATTGAGATATATTTTATTAGTACTTTATAAACATATAAATATATAAATAATTATATAAAATCGATAATATATTATCAATATAATTAATATTTATATATTGATCTATGTATCAATATATCAATATTAACGTTCAATATAATATGTTATAATTTAACATTTTCTGTTTTTAAAGGATATTGTTAAAATGTCTCAATTCAGGATTAATAACAAAGAAACGTATAATTGAATTTAACCATGTGTTGAAAATGAAATAATATTATTTTATAATTTGTTATTCATAAAAACTGATTTATTTTTCCTTTAAAAAATAAACTTAATCTTAGCTACAATCCGAAATATTTAGGCATTAGTTATTTAATGCGTATATTTGTTTGAAAGTATTTATTTGCCCGTTTTTAACCGTAGATTAGGCCAATATGGCGACTAAGATAATCAATAGTCAAGTAAACTAAATAAGATCTAGAGAAAACTGTTTGTAAAAACTGTTGTCCTTTTATGCTGCATGTAATAAATAATAAACAAAAAATAGACAAATATGCATATTGCGTAAATAAGTCGAAAGCCTTTGAATTTTCTAAATTTAAAATGACAAATTTATTATATAAATTACTATTTTCTTGGTGTCTTTGAGTGGTGCATGTTTGTTTATAAATTAATTCGTTTTAATATTATAATCATGTTAGAAACAGAAACATAAATATTAATATTTTTTCAAATATGAACTAACGTCACAATTCGAACGTTCGAACGTTCGAACTCTAGTTCGAACGTCACAATTTAATATATTTCGTCACAATATAATCTATTTAATATATTTTTAAATAGTCAATGACTTACACATCAATGGTTTGATATTTTTGTAAACTGGGAATCACTTGGTATCATTTTCAAAGTTCAATTTTAGCTTGTGTGGTTTAACCATTGTAAAAAAGTTTGTCAATTTTTGTTTCACTGACAATCTACAAACTTATTCTTAAGTATCAATATGAGGGCAACAGAAAATCTTTGATATTTCAATATAATCTAGTCAAAAAGAAACTTATTCCATACATCCTTGTTATAGTAAGTAGGTTATGTTTCCAAATGAAAAATGGTAGTGAAGCCAATAATGTAACCCTAGTTTAAAATAATTCCTTATAAACCGTTGTTTAATGATGATATATTTTCCAATATTACATTTAATCATTTATAGTTTCGTCAATAGAGGTATATTGTACATAGAAATAGTACAATTGAAGAAGAATATTTAAATTAAATTACATCCAACGACAGAAACGTTTATTAAAAAGAAAGTTACGATATTTTTTAAGGATGAAGATGACAAACCAACAAGCGGTTCGCCCCCATATAAATTGATTACCGCTGCCGTGGAAAAACATTCGTTCCGTTTTTACATATTAAACGGAATAGTTAACATTAAAGTTACAAAAATATTACAAAACGATACTCCATTCTTATATTCAGAGATATGTTGTTACAAAGCGTTTTGGATCCGCAACAATTTTCCTAATAGGCTCCCACCATGCGATACATTTTACTGCCTCCCCACTGTTTATCATATCAAATCGTATTCAAGATAAAAATTAGCCTTTTTGTCATATATTTTTAGTTTTCTTCGACCATATCTTGCTAAGTGATCCAATATTACTTCAGACTCATATGCACCATATACTGCAAAACCCGACGTTCAATACTTACATTTTAATTCATATAAATTAGCTATAAAATGAAGGATTTACTGGTTAAATGTATAAAATTGTCGACATGGTGAATAAATATAGATAAATATTGTATTTTCTATACTGTCGTATTACAGTAGCGTATATATTAAGGCGATGTTAACTCAATTATTTTCTTATTAATTTGCTACAAGCTGTTCGTACCATAAACTGCATTAGACATCGATAAATGGCTATATATAAGATATAATACTTTGCTGCTTTAAATTGTGTCGCTTTTTTGTTGTAGTAAATTTATATCATACTATAAAAATAAAAAAGTGAATAGAATAAAATAAATTTAAAAGTCCATTAACCCCATATACAGTCAGAAGTATTTGATATATATTTGTTGTAGAAAACATAGAAAAATATTGAGGTAATGTAGTAATTTCATCTTGATTAGTAATTTATGTATAAGAAAAGTTGTCAGGAGAACTAGTATTTTCTTGTCCTATATTGTAAGCTATGTTGTTATAAAACAGAAAATTATGAAATAAAACACGGTCCTTCATTGTGCGATGTAAAATTTCAAAAAATAAAATTTACTTAATACGGGCATCCCCCGTTGGTCATTTTAGTAAGTTTGTCTTAACTTATCTTTAAGACTTCATTCTAAATTAACGTATTCAATTCAGCCATTTTCTTCGTTTCGTTCGTTCGTATTACTTAAAGAAAATTAATTGAGGAATTTATTGCGTTTAATTTAAATTTAATTCCCTGAACATGAACAACAAAAAAAATTAAATTCAAATTCAACTCTATAAATTCCATAAAAATCGTTTCATTTAAGAATATTTAGTATTCGCGATAAATTAAGAATTACTAATCCTATATAATTTTATATGGGTCAAATTTTGGGAACTATGTTCCAAATGACATCCTGTCTATTGTCTATTTCTACGCTTATGATAACAGATTTCTATATTTTTGTGGGCTTTACTGGTGTTACGCGCATTGATTTTATACAAGATTATTTCCTAAGTGATATGTACATCTTTTTGTCAGCAAAGAAATATAAACAACATGCATAGTTCGAAATAAGCAAAGCTTCCGTACGGTGTTGTAAACACGCGTCCTTAACAAATGTTAACTAATCTCATTACTTATGCGAGTTGTTTTCTAATTAAATGTTTGTACGTGATGTGTAACGTATGATTTATAATATTTTAAACTTGTTATTTGAAAAATATTTTGAAATAAAATTATCTGTGGATATCGATGTATATATTTGTTGTTTCTTTTATTTATACCCTAATTACTTATTGCTTTACTTATTGGGCTATGTTGTAACTCCCTACTAGTCAACGAAGTCGCACGTGTGCAATCTATATACTAATGTGGGGCAGTGTGGAGTGATTAATAAAACTATAATTATGATTACTCTTTTTTATGATTAATACAGGATATCTTTATGTACAATATTTACAGCTGTTTTTTCACGAGACAGTACAAACATGTTTCCTTTAGAGGTTACTGTGGTAAGGGCGAGCCCGCCGACCGCTCCTAACCGGACGGATGTACGGCCCGCCAGCCTCTCCGGCCCCACTTTTTTGTAAAGGGAAATTTTGCTTTACATGAAATGTACAACTTTATTTAATTAGATAAGGAATAATACTGTATTGTTTAATATAGCTTGGTAAATAACTCACAGTTTTTTGTAATATGTATTATATAAACGCCCAAACCCGTGTTTTCTTAGGGTCGTTATTTTAAATTTGACAAGATTTAGTCGCCCTAATCCGAAATTTCGGAGAAATTTTAGAGCCTCAACTCCAAACAAAAGTTATTCCTATATTCATCACGATGTAATCCTGAAAAATATTTGCCCGGTTGGTATAGAAGGTGCCACCGGTTGTGAGCAATGCATGTTGCAAATATACAACAATTCATAGATATGCAGAAGGAACAAGGTACAGAGCCTTGTAGGACACAAGGGTTCACGAATTTAGGGTCAACATCCTTAATGCTCCGGTTATTGAATAAGCTTGTTATCCTCAGGCTATATTTACAGCTGCATTATTTCTCAGGAAGTTCATATGAAGAGAAATTGGAAAGAAGTATTTTTTGCCAACCCGATCGAAGGTTATAGGATCCGAGTATTCACCTATTTTTAGAATATACATAACATCTTCCTTTCCGCACTTCACTCTGCAGAAACCTAATTTCTTACTCCCACCACCATATGGTCAGCAGCAGTCGAGATAGATACGGAGAGTGTAGGTACTTGGCCTTTTTCGTTAGCGTTGTTGGACAACTAACCTATTATTGTGAACCTATTACGGTAAATCACTTGATATATTGTCAAAGATATTCAAATTAAGGACGTAATTTACATGTCTTTTCGCTTTGTACTCTCGTGTTTTCTAGAAACGGATGGCTTATACCTCCAGTTCTAGAGGTGTGAGGTGTCGGAATTAAGGGAGTGCCCTGCCACCGCCGAGGTGTTCCTGTCCATTTTTCGTATACTGCGGATGTGTTAGGTGAACCTAGTACTTATGTTGCGTCCCGTTTCTCCAATGTAGCTTTTGCCACAGTCAATACAATACAAGTACATACAATTTTTTCGAAAATATGTGAAGTCCGACAATCCGCAGTGGAGCCGCGTGGTCGACTATGCCCTGATTACCTCTGTACAGAGGAGGCCTTTGCCCAAAAGTGGGAAGTGTATAGGCTGATACTTTACTTTACTTTGTATATGTCGTGAACTTGCTAAGAAAATGTGTAGTTGACAATATATAGAATCATACTAGGATTTTATTTTACATAATCAGGCAAATAGACAGCGACCAGAGAATATCGTGACATTGACCAAAACGATTATCGCTATCGTACGATCCTTATCTCAAGAACGTTAGGTATAGGATTATATATAGAAAAAAATAATACGTCATCGATGTTTACGAGAAACGCATTACAGCTCCGCGTGTTACGGTGATTTTTCTGATACCGGACCTCCCGATGTCGCAGAAACGTCATCGTTGCGTCATATTTAACAAAGTGACTTAAGAACGAACTTAATACATCATCAATCTGTATCGTCTCTGTATCGTTGGGGGTCAATGTCATATGAATCACCGAAGTAGCGATGCACACGTATGTGTTTAAATTAATTCATTATTTACTGGCCTCGTGTTTTCTACACGGGTCAACCGTGTCGATTGTTCGCATATAATTGTGATCAGTCATTGAATTCTAACAGAATAATGATATTGTTAATATTAATAATTATTGCCTTTCATTTAAACAAAATTATTAAAGAATGTTTGAATACAGAATTTTTGTAAGAAATATTTAAGGACAGTTTTTTTATCTATTTTTCTTCAATTGCTCAAAAGCGATAAAAAAAAATATTAATTAGCTTCAAATTAATGTCCGACAAATTAATTTTGAAAAAAAGTGTTAAGGGAGATATGGTGTTTGCAAAAAAATACCTATGCGAAATAATATGACAATATTATTTACTTAAATTAACTCAATTTTGACGAATGTACAAATAATATATGCTTTATTATTACCAACGTCTTATAAAATAATATGATACATAATTTTGTCTCTCTGTTGGATATTGGTATCTGTGCATTAGACAAAAAATTCTACGAACGACTCTGAGCACTCGCTATTTAAATTTAGTAAGAAACGAACTAATTTTCAAGCACGCAGGTGTTCCGTTCGTGGCATCCTTCGCAGCATAGTAAAAACTAATATAGTAAATTAGTATTTGTACACTTTGTTCAATAAGGATGTCAACCTTCATTTATATTGTTAAAATAATTTGTGTGAAAAAATCATTTGTGTTTTTCGTATTCACATGTTTTTCAGTATCTATAGAATTATACAAATTGCAATATTCGGATTTGGTAATGGATAGGAATTTCATATCAACCAAACTAAACAGTATCAATAACTATCGGTTCCAATGTATTACTAGATTAGTACTACTGTGTCCCATTTCAGACAAGATATTAATTACTATAAACAATATTTATGTATTCAATAAAATCAAATCACGGTCGCTTACTCATTGTTTACTAGTTCTTTCTACGGTGATGTCCCTCGATAATGACTGCTGACGTAGAACATGATTTGATTTGATAAAAGTGAATATTACGCGACATTAAATTGTCATTTTGTTCTTAAACAGAGTCATCGATTAGCAGAAAAATAACAGTCTTGTACATTTAATAATAATGAAAATGTCTCGTTTTCACTTTTTTTAAATAAGAATATATTTGATATTAATGACTGAATGAAATTAGCTTTTTTGTACATTAGGTACAACTGGCGGCCTAATCGCTTAGAATTGATTTATTCCAGGCAACTACGTTACAGAGAACACAATGATATTTGATGATAAGAATCTATTTTTAACGTCTGTGTTGTTATAAGTGGTCTTAATAATTGACTCTTATTTATAATATCACTGCTTAGAACTAAGTATGAACGTCTTGTTAATAATTATAGCCATCATAGCCTTTTTAGACATTTCTGTCGCTCTCAAATTATATGGTATCCTTTTTATTGGCACATATCTATAACAAGATCTTTATCAAGGCAATAAATAGTCCTGTGTAAAACAGGACATCGTGGCGCAGTCGCCAAAGTATCGGCTTCGGCGTCGGGGGTCGTGGGTTCGATTCCCACACGGGACAACTATTTGTGCGACCCACGGATTGTTCCGCATCTGGATGTTAGTCCTCGTGCAATTTATGTTTGTAAAACGTCCTTACAACACAGGATTATGTTACCCTAAAGTGAGGGCAATGTTTAAAAAAAAAAAAAAATGGAAAACCAAATGCGAATATTAAGGGCTCCGATAAAAAAAAAAAGGTTTTTTTTTTATATACGATATCATCGCTTTCGTTTTTCAAGAATTAATTTTTTACTGCTTTGTCGCAATATAAAAGGTAATAGGAACATAACTTATATAGTGTTATCCATGTGAACAAGATGAAGTCGACAAGCTATCGTATTTCTTTATTATCTTTCCCAATATTGTCCAAACTAGTGGGAATCAAATAACGAGGTGACAAGGGAAAACATAGTATATGTACTTGAACATCGAAACGAAATACCACTTATCTTTGGGTGGCACATTATATATCCGGCATGTTTTTTTACGTAAAGGCAGAAATGTTATTGACCCAGATATTACACTTCTTCTGACTTATCTTGTCATCTTAAGATAAAATATTTAGAAACGCATAATTCACAGACTACTGAAAACAAGGAAAATTAATACGAATAACTATGTTTTGATTGTTGATTACGCCATGTCGTTATGATTTCGCTTCATTGTATAAATTAAACTGCTGTTAAGTGTCTATCATTTAAATAATAAATTAACTATTTATTCTTTATCTTATTTACAAATAATAAAATAAGGAAAATGGACACTGTTCACTGTTCCGTGGCCGTACCGTTTTCCTTTCTCAACGCCTTTTTGACATTTTCGGAGAGCTCCGCCACGTGGATCAAGTCCTTCTGCGAGGCGGGAAAAGGAACGTAGTGCTCCCAGGTCTTCAAATTTCGGTACAGCACGCTCCCAGGGCATTCTGTGTCGCGCACTTGCCTGTTAAATTCGTTCAACGTATATTTATAAAAGTATATATTTATCAACAAAAACAAAACAAACTTCAAACATCTCACTCACTATAAATTTTCTATTCAATTTAGAGGAGCTGACTGATTTAGAGCTAACCTTAAAATAAGGTATATAAATACGTTGAGATTTTCGGCGATGTGAAAAATATATCGTTTAGCTCAGTGGATAGAGCTTCGTGTGCGTAAACTGGAGAATGCAGGTCCAAATCCTGGCAGTGCCGAAAAACTTTTCGTCGACTTTTTTTACAAATTTTAGAGTTCCCTGATATATCTGCAAGTGCAAGGTCCAATACGACTGAAATTAATATGGGACCATAAATGACGGAGATCTGAGATAAAAAAAATGAAACCGATTTAAAAACTTCCTCTGTTTTTAATTCGGTTGAGAAGTATTTTTTTTTACAATTAATGAATTGCTTTGTCTTCAAAGGTAATGTATTTTTAATAACGTAACGCCAAGTAGCGATATTACCTCATCACGGCTCGGTTAAAACTGTATGTGATTATTGTGATATTACGAATGAATATCATAACTTATTCGTATGTGTCAAAACGCTTTTTACTAAATTCAAGTAATTTTAAACCAATCTTAATCACTACTAGTGTAAAACAAGGTTGTCCCGCTGTCTGTCTGTCCCTATGTATGCTTAGATCTTTAAAACTACGCAACGGATCATTATGCGATTTTTTTACTAGATAGAGTGATTTAAGAGGAAGGTTTATATATATGTATAATACATTAAACCCGTGCGAAGCCGGGGCGGGTCGCTAGTTTAACATAAAAATCACAATGAGGGCAAAAAAACAAATATGATAAATATTTTACTATCGGTAGGAGACTGTACTACATAAGAATGAAGGTTTTTACCTGTGCCCCACTAATTTATAATCTGGTTTTATGTAGCCAAGTTCAACACCCGTCGCGATCAGGGTCTTGGCTGTTTTTATTTGTTCCGGCGGTGGCAACGTATCTGAGAACAATATACTTTTTATCATTAGCCTGAAATCATGGCTAAAATTTTCACTTAAGAATAAAGAACGGCATTTACTTCTATTCTTATATGTACTGTGAAAAGTAGTTAATATAATATTTGTATAAATTATTTATACAAACCCAAAATATTATAAAAGTAGTTTAAGCTATACGTTAAATTCAAATATTCTTTCTTGAGACTTCTTGCGTTCAGAAGGAAAGACATTTAAAGAAGAATAAATTTTACATGAAGAGAAGAATGAACTCAAAAATTTAACAAAAATAAGGTCACTTAGGAAATTACGCAGAATGCATGTTCTTACTTGCAAAAGTTGAAAATACTGCTATAGCATATTCTATGTAAGTATGTACCATTTTATTTTATTTGTCTTATTTTTTGAGCACAGTTTCGTTAAGGTAAGACTAGCAAAGATCACCATAGATAATTACGAGAAAATCTTGAATGGCACAAGTGTTAAATTTTAGACGGAAGAAAGATTTGAGGCGGCAGCAGCTATGCAAGATATTGGAAACATGCGAACATAAATCACGAGACAGAATAACATTCGCTTTACCTCTCACAGGACGTGTTATTTGATAATTGCGTATATTTTGACAAAACAAGGAAAATGTCAATTGAAGTTGAACACAAGGCTATAGCCGTAAGGTAATGTACTCACTCGACCAGTCACCGATTAAGCATATCCCAATGCTAACGGTATTGAAATGCAGTGCGTGCGCTCCCAATACATTCCAACCCCGTCCCTCGTAAGCCACACCTTGACTGCCAACTGCGAAGCTAATAATTTTTAAGTTGGAATCAACAATGTAACGGCGAATTGTCAAATGTATTTAAGTATCTCAATTTATTTGAAACGTTAGATATCACTTATTTAAGTTAATTATAAAAACACAATTTCTTATAACAAAACCGACTTCAAATATCTCGCTCTGTATTCATTTTATAATTGATTTTCAGGAGTTCCCTAAGTATCCGGAGCCCAATATCCAATACTAATGATATTAATATGGGACCCCATGGGAAGCATCAGCTTTCAAATAAAAAAAGAAACATCAAAATCGATTCACTCAGTCGAAAGTTCTGAGGTAACAAAAAAAAAAATACAGTCGAAATGAGAAGCTTCTCCGTTATTGAAATCGGTTGAAAATGGAAAAAAAATTAAGGCAAAGACGGCAGTGGAGGACGTCATAGCTGCGTAGCATAAGGGAATAGGCCAATTTACCTGATGAGATTTGCAGAACTAGCGGGCAACTTTTTGTTCCAAAATTTTAGTTATGAGAGAGAAATAGATCAAAATAGTATTACTACTGGAAACATTGTACGCAGTCGTTTCTTCGTTGCGTCTCTATCACGCAGAGAGTAAATGAACAGAAACCCATGAAAATGAAGAAATAGCCTAAATTCAAAGAAAATTGCGATAATATGATAACGTAGATATTGATAACATTTATAAAATTTGCAGTAATTTGCTAGCATAGTATTTATGATATTGCATTTTTTTATAACACGATATTACTAAAGTCCTAAATAAGCAGATAAATTATTATACCTAAGCTCATCAGAAATAAATAAAGCTCATCATAAAAGGTTCTCGAGTGGAGAACACGTGACGGCAAGTGCAGCGTAGGCAGGCCTCCCACAAGGTGGACGGACGACCTCGATAAGATCACAGGGACGCGTTGGATGCAGGCCGCTAACGACCGGTCGAAGTGGAAGTCAATGGGGGAGGCCTATGTTCAGAAAATAAGGGGTAATAAGGGGGGGGGGGAGTAAAAATAAGATAATCACTTATTATATCTTAGTGTAACCGATATCGATTCACGTGTTGCAAAAACGTGTATAAAATACTACGTTAACAAAAAGTGGTTTGTCTCGGTCGGAATTGTTTGACTATGGCGTTATCGCAGATAACCTATCTCATAACATGTTAATAATTCAAATCTGTTCTTTGAGAGATTGATCAGATCTCTTGCAAAGTGTAGAGCGACGAAATAATTGATACGGATAAATATTTAAGGAAAATTAATCGTAAAAAATTTATATTTTCTTAATATATATAATTTGGCCATATACTATGAAATTCTCGGACTATTCGAAACATTCGGAGCATTGTATCAAATAAAATAAATGGCCCAAAAAAACCTAGTATATAAAGGATTATTTTATTTAGGATAACCCTACAAATACTTTTGATGCCCGATTTGAGAGTATTTTAAGAAAAAAATGCAAATATATTTCTGTGAAGTTTTAATTACTATTTAATCATAATTTTTATCTGTGTATCATCTTATTTGATACATTTATCTTATCTGGTGTTTTTATAGCAATCTATTCACCCGACGTAAATAGCAATCACATACAAACAAATAGTCTGATTTATAATAATAGTGATTTATAAACGTAGTGATTACATTCTCTTTGAATAATAGAAAAATTGAACTCACTGGTATCCTATGTCCCACCAGCCTCTGTCATTCATGTGGAAATCTTGCATGCTACGCATCGCTTTCTGGCACTGAGCGCTGTCATAGCAGGCAGCTGGTGTGTAGGAGTGGTGAATCACCACGTACGGGACTGGTGTATGGAGTGATAGCTTCTGTTTAGCAGTCTTCGCCCCCCATTGTGACCTCGTCACGAATGGAAAGTCATATGTCAGCACTTCGTTATCTGATGGCACTACAATAAAAATAATACGTGATGTTATATTTACTTATTACATTGATATTTCTGTCGTTCCTATTATAATTACTGATAATTATCGCAAAAGAATTATAATAAGTATACAGTATTACTTTTTATAATGTGTAGTACATTAATAAAAAGTAATACAATTCTTATGTGCAAGCTGCCTTCACTGAACACAATAAATAGCATAAATAAATTAATTCAGTTTACAATTAAATGTTTCGAAGAGTCGATGTTTTAGTACTGTCGGTGTGATAACATCTGACATAAGTCTCCGTTAATTCAGATTTAATATCGATTAAGTCATTCCAATTACTGTTTGATAGTTTTATGGTTTATCTATGCATTATAACTGTATAAAGTATATCATAGCCATAAAACATATTAAAGAATTGTAATATTAGAAAGAAGCAAATACAAAAAACAACCTTGTAATAACGCTGGCCCTCCGACTATGATGCCAATGAACCCCAAAAACACCACCACAAAAACGAACATCTCGGCGAGCTTTGTAATTTATCTTGCTAAAACAAAAAATACAATGATCTCATTCTACCGCGTTTCGGTAACATTTATTCCCCTATCGATGTTCGTATAAATTTGATCGATGCTGCGTAATTTTATGTGTTTAACGCGCTTTATAATTTTCGTTTTTGTTTCCTTTTATTTACGCTTACGTGAAGTTAATTAAATTGCGACATAGTCGTGGCAAATAAATATTTTTAATTTATAAATAAAATTTTAAAAGGGAAATAATTTTAGTCTATCAATCCCTTTCTAGGCTTTGTAGGGCGTTAAAAAAATTAAACAGTCTTCAGACTGTTTAATTTCGCATTCTTTAGACGACTGTCAGACGCAAATATGTTTGTTCATACCCGAGTTAAAATATCCTATACAACGTGCATTAATTTTCTGACTAATTCTAATTTGAACGCCATCACATTTTAAGGTGATTTTTTCCATGCCGGAAGATTCAAGTAATTAAAAACTAGTAATTAAAAATCAGATATTTATTTTTATACTAGTTACTAGTTAAGTACAAAAATAAATATCTGATCAGCTTATCATAAATTGATAATTTTTTTAGTTATTATAAAAAAAATTTAATTTATAAAACGATTATAATTTTTCTGATTTTAGGTATTTTAATTGAACATGAACAGTTATAAAAAAAATTAAACAATAATGTAATTAAATTTGTGTAAGTTGAACAAATAGGTGTTTACATATTACAGTTTACATATTACATATATGTTTGATCAAAATCAAAAACTACAAAAAGGTATAAATAAAGTAAGATGATCACTTACAAATAATAATGACGCATGCACAAAAATTGTATTATGACAACAATACCCCTTTTTGGAAAAACTTCACTAAATGTTTACTATCGCGTATAAAAATGTGAATTGCGTAAATCGGCACTATGATATTTGCAATGAGATTTCTTTTTAGATCCAACATTGGCAGCTGCTGTGCCACGACTATACAAATTTCTTACCGGGTATAGCTTTATGTATTTCTGCTTGATAAGGTTGGTTGGCTAGAGGTTATTCCCCGGACGACTGAGAATTGATTGAGACAAAATGGCGTTTTAAAACTTTTGAACGCGAAGATTAACATCTCCGAATCAGGATGAAACTTGTTTCTGTGTTTTATTTTTATTAATTTGTTCGCCGGTTTAGTTTGATTAAAAGAAATTTCAATTAATGAATTGTTTAAAACATTAGGATTAAATTAGCCTTTACTCGATTGCAAGTATGACGGATTGCTCTCAATTTCTATGCTGTTTGTAAAAAGCCATAACAATGTTCTTAACATTATTCTTAGTGTATAAATAGCGTAACCCTTAATCCTGTTGAGTCCGCTGTATTCTTGGGAATTATAGTGGATTCAATGCTCCAATGGAGTCCCCATCTATCATCTCTTGCGAACAGGTTAAGCTCCGCTGTTTTTGCAATTAGGAAGGTTAGGCAGCTATAAGACATCGACACTGCCAGACTTGTTTACTTCAGTTATTTCCAAGGCATCTTGTCTTACGGCATTTTGTTGTGGGGTAGTGCATCTGATATAAATTCTATATTTATTCTTTAAAAAAGAGCTGTCCGAGCAATCTATAACATCGGAGCCCAGAATACACTCAGAGACCTTTTTAAAGAGATTAATATACTCACTGTTGCTTCTTAATATATTTATTGTAATATTTTGTATGTTAAACATAATATTAATAATTATCTAAAGAATAGTGACAGACATAAAATAAGGACAAACTATCTACGCCATTGTTTCGTCTACAAAAAGCAAACAGGTCGTTCATGGGGCAAAGTGTGCGCATATATAATAAAATCCCACAGTCGATATTAAGTCTGCTACTTGATGAATTTAAACGAAAAGTTAAAAGTACACTTATGGCTAAAGCATATCATCTAAAAGCATATCATTATACTATTGCTGAATATCTTGACGACGCCAATGTGTGGGGTTAATACTGTTGATACTCACGTAGGCTAAAACAAGACATTATATTGTAAACTGACCTTTTAAAAAAGAGCAACTGTTGAGTTTCTTGCCGGTTTCTTCTCGACAGAAACTGCTTTCCGAACCGGTGGTAACTTACGAAGATATTGTTACGTGTTAGGGGTTTGAAGGATTTGGAGAGAAAGACCTGCTGACTCTTTTGAAGACTTTATTCAATAGCACTAGGTCCAACACAAAGCACTAGGTCCAAACACTAAGCACAAACGATGTCCTGTTTTGTAGCCAAGTCGTAGGTTTCACTGGTATCGCTCTTGATCACTAGTTTTCGCTCCGAAGTCGCCTCGAAGGTAGCTCAAACTAAACTGTCATCGCTCGCTTCCCTGCGGCTTTTTATATGGGCCGAGACCGGTTCTGGACTGATCCAGAAAGATCATTCCTGGAACGTACCCGACACGCACGAACATGTTCGTGATTCCGGAAAGTTCGCGAATGTACCCGGTTTTCGAGACAGCAGTTCCTCTAACGCCATCTAGTGTTGAATAGGGGGTTTTATGTCGTCTTTGTTCTTTAGTGGTTTTGATAGTTGACGCTAGATGGCGGTAGTTCCTTTGTGTGTTCATAACACTACTCCCCTCTTAGAGATGCTCGTCCCGAGCATCATTGTTACTGCCATGGTAACGCGCCAGACGGTCTATGTGTACCACTTTGAATGTCCCTCTTGGTTGCTTTTGAATCCTATAAGTCACATCATTCAGTCGGGTAACCACTTTGTATGGACCGTCCCACTTGGTCTGTAACTTTGGGGATTTCCCTTTCCGACGAGTTGGGTTATGCAGCCACACCAGTGACCCTTCGTCGAAGCCGTCCGTGTTCGATTACCGGTCGTATCTGGTTTTCATGTTCTCACTTGACTGTAACCCATTTTCCCGAACCAAGGCGTGTATATAGCGCATTTTTTTTTTCTTAAATTGCAGACATAGTCTTGTACGGTCTCTGGTCCCTCCGGTGACCCTCCTGTCAATAGGTCTACTGGTAATCGTAGTTCTCTACCGTAATTGACATACGCCGGGGTAGCTTTTATGCTCTCATGCTCGGTGGTTCGCTACGACAGAAGGAAGAGTGGTATATACTTGTCCCAATCCTTTTGTTTGTCGTCTACCAATTTCGCCAGATGCCTCTCAAGGGTCTGGTTAAATCTCTCAACCATTCCATCAGACTGTGGGTGGCACGCGGTGGTCCTCGTCTTATGCATGCCCAAAATTCTACACACTTCCTGGAATACTTGCGATTCGAAGTTCCTGCCCTGATCGGAATGGATTTCTAGAGGCACACCAAAGCGACATATCACTTCTTCGACTAACTTAGAAGCGACTATTGTAGCTTCTTGGTTTGGTATGGCGAACACTTCGGGCCATTTGGTGAAGTAGTCCATGACGACCATAAAATACTTGTTTCCCGAGTCCGTTACAGGAAATGGCCCAGCTACGTCAACTGCAATTCGTTCCCACGGTGCACCGACGTTATACAACCAGGTTCCCACGGCTTCTGGTCTGTGGTCCTTTTACAGCAGCGCAAGTAGTACATTTGCGGCACCAATCCTGTACATCATCTAGACAGTGCAACCAGTAGAATCGTTCTCGCACTTTTGTTAACGTACTCTTGACACCTAGATGATCTCCTGATACGCCATCATGTATTTCACGGAGAACATCTGGTACTCTCGTTCTCGGGACAATTATCTGAAGATGGAACTCTCTGCCGTTAGTCTTCTCCCATTTACGGTAGAGTATTCCGTTTTGATGTATCAGACTGTCCCATTGCGCCCAGTACGCCTTTGTGACGGCGCCAGTGGGAGCAACCTCACTCCAGATTGGTTTTACGTCACCCCGTTTCTTCCATGTGATGATGTGCCGAAGGTCGTCATCTCTTTCTTGAGCCTCCCTCATAGCATCATTCTCCCAGAGACCCAAAGGACTTGTTCTCGTTAGCTTTAATGTTACTTCATTAGATTCCTGTTTGACGCAATGGTTGCAGTCTTCTGAACACGGCCTTCGTGAGAGTGCGTCGGCATTCCCATGCGTCTTTCCACTGCGGTGTTCCTTCTTGAAGTCATACTCCTGGAGCTGTTCAATCCATCGAGCTACTTGACCTTCTGGGTTCTTGAATAGCAGTAGCCACTTCAAGGCTGCGTGATCAGTTCGCAGTAAAAACTGTCTGCCGATGAGATATTTGTTGAAATGTTGTAGTGTCTTTACAACAGCCAAGAGTTCTCTTCTTGTCACACAGTAGTTTCTCTCTGGCTTGGATAAAGATTTGCTGAAATATGCGATAACAACTTCTCTTTCACCCTGTTTTTGAGATAACACCCCTCCAATGGCCGTGTTGCTTGCATCCGTGTCGACTATAAACTGACCTTCAGATGGTGGATACCCCAGGATTGGTGTTTCACATAGATGTTTCTTCAATTTCTGAAAAGAATCTTCACAAGTCCCATCCCAACTAAATTGTCGTTTATCTTCTGTCAGTCGATGTAATGGCTTGGCTATCTCTGAGAATCCTTTAACAAAATGCCTGTAGTATGAGCATAGGCCGAGGAATGCCCGCATTTCGGATTTGTCCTTAGGGGTAGGCCATTTTTGAACTGCTTCCAGTTTCTCTGGATTCCGTCACTGGAGTTAACATGGCCCAGATAGTTGACCTTGCTCCTGAATAAACGACACTTTTTCGGGTTCAACTTTAATTTAGCTCCCTCTATTTTGGTGAAAACTCGCTCCAAGTTTCGCAAATGGTCCTCGAAGTCACGGCCGACAATGATGATGTCATCTAAGTAGACTAAGTAAGCCTCTCCAACTAAGCCTGCAAGTACACACTCCATGAGTCGCTCAAATGTGGCAGGTGCGTTGCACAATCCGAAGGGCATGACGTTAAATTGCCATAAACCTTTACCGGTCGAGAAAGCCGTCTTCTCCTTGTCTTTTGGATGAATTTCCACCTGCCAGTATCCAGATTTCAGGTCTAGG